CGGTGGTAGCCACTTGCCCTCACTATGCCCACGGCTTTGCTTGCCTCCTAGAGTCGGGCCAGGCCCACCCCGATCCTCGGCGTTTCATTTAGAGCGAACTGAAACCTTCTTTTCCAAAATACTTACCCAGATCTCATTCAAACACTGGATAAAGTGTCCTCAACAAACCGAGATCTAAGTGCTGACTTGTCGCTCTTTTGGCTGAAGCAGGTAGGAGGCGGAAATCCCTTTTTTCTCTCATGTCATAATGAGATGTCTCTGCTTACTCTTTTCTATCACAGAAGGAGGCCCCAACCCCGAGTTCAATAGCAACCTGGCCAGCATCTTAGAGGTGTGTCGCAGCAAGCACATGCCCAAGGCAACAATTGAGGCAGCACTGAAAATGGAGGTGTGTCCTCAGTTTAACTTTCTTGTTTTTGATCACAGTCCCTACAGGGCACATGTCTGGAAGGCCACCACACACCCTTTAAATTATCAGAGAAGGGTAGTGACGTTGTTGACACCCTCAACCCAGAGCCTTCCGGTGACTCTTCTCTCGGCCATTGGTTATGGGAGCACAGTCAGGCGTAGGATGTATAGACAGCGTACAGAACTGTATAGCCTAGGATTGCTGAGCTGAGTTTTGAGGAGATGGGGTAAAAAGAAGGGGCACAGTATGGGGAAAGCCCTGGTGTTAGTTTGAGGAAGCGTTTGTTTTTCTGATATTTATGCCTTAAAGGAGAAAAGCCAGTAGAAAGAGAGAGGGTGCAGATGATAGTGATAGTGGGAGGGGCTGGGATGTACAGCCTAGGTGTGGGAATTGTCTTCAGGCCCAGCCGAGGGGACACCTCTGCTCTAGGACAAGGGGGAAGGATCTGAGGAAATAGTAGTCATCTTAGTTGCTAACAGTTATTGAGTGCTTATTCCAGGCCAAGTTCTTTGATAAGAACTTTGTATGCATTACCTCACTGAATCCTCAGAACAACCTTAAATGGAAACTGAGGCACTGAAAGATTAGGCGACTTGACCACGTCACACAGAAAATGACAGACTGGGAACCAGACAGACTCCAGAGCCTATGCCTAACCATCATTCATACTGCCCTCCTGTCAGGTGTGGTGCAGATAAGGCGGTGGAGGCAGAGGATTTTCCCCCACCTGGTGTCCTTAATTTCCTTTACGAAAGAGGAAGGGAGAAGTCATCAGTTGAGAGTTCCTGGGAAGACGGCAGGGCAGGGGGATGGGAAGGACCACGTCACACAGAAAATGACAGACTGGGAACCAGACAGACTCCAGAGCCTATGCCTAACCATCATTCATACTGCCCTCCTGTCAGGTGTGGTGCAGATAAGGCGGTGGAGGCAGAGGATTTTCCCCCACCTGGTGTCCTTAATTTCCTTTACGAAAGAGGAAGGGAGAAGTCATCAGTTGAGAGTTCCTGGGAAGACGGCAGGGCAGGGTGATGGAAAGAGGGGTGAAGATCGGATGCGTGGGCAAAGAATGAGCAGAGGCAGTGTGGGAGATCCAGACGAGATTGGTCATTAGAGTTTTTGATTGATTGTTTGAATTTTGAGGCTATGCTATTTGATAAGGCCCAGATGTGTCATTTCACGTGACAGTACTCAGCAGCGCTGGGGTAGAAGCACAGGTGGGTTTCATGCGGGATAAGGTATACAATAATGAGTTTTAGTAGGCGCTGTGGCGGGGTGGATGTGGGATTCAGCTGGGGAGGGGCGAAAACAAAGCTGGGAGACGGCAGATTGATTGTTCGGGGGACAAGAGAAACAGACTGCCTTCCAAGTAAGGGATAGTACTTACAATTATCTCAAAAGTTGGTCCCAAGGGCCTCCTCTCAGAGGGGAGGACAAAACTGAAGCTTAACAGCCTAGGCTCCAGCCCAGGGAGCCCATCCCATGGAGTCAACTTTGTGGTGCCTGTCGTGCCTGGGCTGGCACGTAGGAGGGAACTAGGAAACCTGAAAATGTGATTATGTTGATTATTGCAGAAAACCAAGGACATTTATTTGTTGTATGAAGGCCGAGGCCCTGGTGGCTCTTCTCTTCTCATTGAGGCGTTATCTAACAGTAGCTCCAAGTGCCGCTCGGACATCAAACATATCCTGAACAAGAATGGGTAGGTGTGTGTCTGGGGAGAGTAGAAGGGTACAGAGTCTTTAGGTTCCGATTCTGTGCAGTACTGTTGTTTCTGGTGGCGTTTCAAGTTTTACACACACTTCATCCTTAGCAGAATCCAAATGGGATCATTTATTCTCCCTTAATGTGTTCTGTACTGGGCAGGATCCAAAAGATTTGTCCATCAGGTGTAGAAGGAGCTCTCTGTCCCGTTATCCCATCTGTCTGTATAATGTCCAGGTCTTAAAATGTACAACCAGGAATGGAATCTTAATTGCACAGGCATCGATGAGCAAAGTCTTTGCATCCTCCAGACTCCAGACAGGGCAGAAAATAGAGGGTTGGGGTTATGTTTGGATTATTCCCTTGCCCAGTGGTAGCTGCATCTGCCTCAGGAAGAGAGCTGCTCCATGTCTGTTTATACTCCAGGGGCTGGGTGGGAATGAGTGTCTAAAAGGCATTCATTCTGGCCCATTTCCTTTCCTATTAGGGGAATGATGGCTGAAGGAGCTCGCCACTCCTTTGACAAAAAGGGGGTGATCGTGGTTGGAGTGGAGGACAAAGAGAAGAAAGCTGTGAATCTAGAGCGTGCCCTGGAGCTGGCAATAGAAGCAGGAGCTGAGGATGTCAAGGAAACTGAAGATGAAGAGGAAACGAACATTTTTAAAGTGAGTATGAAGCCTTAGTGTTTGGTGGACTTCCGAGAGGCCCCTGATTGACATGTTAAGGCATGCTTCTGTCAGTCTCTTCTTTCCTGTGCCCGGGGTACAGGTGAGATAAAGAGCTCACATATTGCACAGACATTTACTAAGAGAATACCGGATAGGGCTTACTCTCTTGAGGACGATGAGAAGGATTCAGAACATTGAAAACCCTATTTCTGCCAGTGAAGACTTAAACCCAGTGATACAGTAATTCCATTCAGGTTTTGCAAACTTCTGTCCAGCTTTGTCCTGTTATCTCCTGGCTACTTACCTCCTGACTTTCCTTTGTTCCTAGTTTATTTGTGATGCCTCTTCACTGCATCAAGTGAGGAAGAAGCTGGACTCCCTGGGCCTGTGTTCTGTGTCCTGTATGCTAGAGTTCATCCCCAACACAAAGGTGCGGCTGGCTGACCCTGACCTGGAGCAGGCTGCCCATCTCATCCAGGCTCTCGGCAACCACGATGACGTGATCCACGTCTATGACAACATTGAGTAGCCAGGCTGTACGTGCCCCCCGGCAGCCTATTCTGGAGCACAAGCTTCTGCAGCGTCCTCTGAGACTCAAGCAGGTCAGGGCGGTGTGTGGTCTAGCAGGTTAGGAAGCAGAAGACCTGTAGTTTGTGGTCAACGGAATCCCTGCACTTTTGTGAAGCCTCTTTGTCGGCTCTGCTGGTGTCTCAGTGCCCTCCCAGGTGAGTCCCTCCACATCCTTCTGGATGCAGAGTGAGGCCAGTCAGCTGGTCAGATTCTGATCTCAGGAAGTTGGCCCTTGTGGGGATGGTAGGTGCCCTGAGGGCCCATGTACTAGAAACTGCTCTTAAATAATAACAGTTGTTGATCTGGGTTTGCTGCACTGCTGTTGTATGTCTCTTGAGTTTTCCTGGGTTTGTGTCCAGTTGCTGGGACCCTTTTGACTTCCTTTCAAGTCTATAGGCTTAGTTCCACTACTCCAATCCCAAGCCTTTATTTTTTTGATTGACCATAGAAATGTAGCTCCCTCCAGGTACTTTGTGCTCTAGTGCTCATCTAATGGCTTAAACCTGTCATTCTTTCACATAACTAATATTGATCAAACACCTACTGTGTACCAGGAACTGCACTTACAAGCTGTTCAATTGATGCCCTGTGTTAGGTCCACTCTAAGACGTAGGACCTCAGGGGGAAGATACAGGATTGCTCTCTACCGGAGCTGTCCCAGGGCAATGTGAGGTGCTGTGCATGCATCCTTGTTCTCTTTGTGTGGCCTCTGTACCCTTCTTCTGTCAGAGAGCTTAAGGCTGTAGCCCTGAAGGAGATCAAGTGCCAGTGATAAGGGACTCCAGGCCCTGCTTTGCCTGGATCCCTCTGTGTTCTGAGATTGCTCAGAGTGGACCTGTCAGTGGGCTGCACTCAGGAAGGGCTACACCAAGCTGGTTTTGAAAGCTGCTTGATCCCCAGAATGCCGAACCCTGGCTCCTTTTCATCCCTGATTCCAGATGATGGGGCACTGGGAACTGGAAAGGAGATAAGAACAGAAAGAAGGCTGAGTCAGAATCCTGGCCAGGTGGGGAATAGGGGCCTTGGTGCCTTTTGTTCCTGAGTCACTTCTGGGTTTAGAGAGACAAGGAGTGCCAACCACCTGTGCTGGAGCCCATCAAGTGTGTCGGGCCTGGAGCGGCTTTTTGATCCCGATTATTCACCTTCTTGTAAGTTGTTTAAGCCAGTTCTGAGCTCAGAGTAATTTTCCTGAAGGACTCTTAGGTAAATGAGGATGGAAAAGAACTAAAACCAAATTGGCTATAAATGATAACTTCACCTTCTAGGAAAACCAGATTACTAATTCCATGATGACTTCAACAGCTGGAGAGTGAAGGCTAGAGGGAGGAAAACCAATGAAATAATCTGTTATCGTGCCTCATTTCATAATTTTGGTACTACCTGGCATTCTTTAGTTTTTATAGGAGATAACTCACCTAAATATCTGAATAGCACATCATTAAAATAGGGCAATGTAAAGTTTAAATGCCACTTCCTAACTTATAAGATACTTTCATATTTTATTTATTTGATTTTCAAAACAAACCTATAAAATAGTCAGGCCAAGTATTTTATGCACAGATGATCTCATACCAAAGCAGGTGAGAACTACATCTGTGTAAAATAAACCAAGGTCTATTATAAATGTTGAATATAAATTAATTTGGAGGAATATGGTAATTCTGATCTGAGAAATCTGTACTAAGGAAGCCTGCTCTAGAAGGGAACTTGGTTACTCATGTGAATAGTCCTCTAATCTAATAGGTAGGATTTGTTAATGTGAATTCTTGTGTGACCAGTTTTCTTGCATCAAGACATACTAAACAGCTCTTCACTGACCCCTGGCGGTGCCCTGCAGTCTTTCCTGCAATTAGTATGGGAAAGGCAGAAATGAAAGCTTACTTGGACCTGCTCTGCCTCTAGATCTGGTAAAGAGACCCTTAGCTATATAGGTTAAATAGTTAACTATTTAACTGAATAGTTAAGTAAAGAGGGTATGAGTTATTCTGCCACTAGAAATTATTTTTCAAAGAATATTTTATGTCAGAGAAAATGTTTACAATATAATGTTAAGTGAAAAACAAAGATGCAAAACTATATGTATAGTATGGTCCAAATGTTAAAATATATATCATACTTTATATATGAACTTTTAAAAAAAGACTAGAAGGAAGTATACCAGAATATCAAAACTGGTTATCTCTGGGTGGTGATGTTATAATTGAGTTTTATTTTCAATAATCGTGTCTTACTTTTATCAGGGAAGCATTTTTTTAAAAAGAAAACTAGTCACATTATTGTCCTGTTAGGGAGACAGCATGTGAGAGGGTGGGATTCAGATGTACCTTAAAGTCAAAAGAATAGCGTCTGGTCCTGGCTTGCCTTTGCCTTATCTTTGGTCATTGTCTTAGCAACACAAAATCATTTAGAGCCTTGAGCTGGCTCAGGCTCATTTTCAAGTTTCCTTTCAGTGGAATGGAAGTATCAGTGACAGGCTCTGTCCATAGCCTTGACTCTTAGGAGAAGTGCTCGTGTGGTATGTAGCTGCCCCAACCCTGCCAGGGGCCCCGCTGAATCAGACAGGAACAATGAAGACTCTGCCTCTAGCCAACTCCGGAAATTCAGTCGTGTGGTTGAGTTACTTTTTTTTTTCTATCAGAAATATATAGCACAACTGTCAATAAAGCTTCACACTCTAAGAGTCCTCAACTTTTGAATCCCTGAGGACTCCTCTGAAGACATTCTATCAAGAGAAAATAAATGAGCCAGTAGATCTCACAAAAGAGAGTGTCATGATAGATACTACACTCGTCTTGACTGAAATCACTTTCTCTCTTTATTCTATCCCCAGACAGTGAATGGGATAGAAGTTTTTACTTTTTCCTCTTTTTATCTTTCTTTGGTTTGTGCCAAAAAGGTAACCCTTATTGTTTTTTTTTTTTTTTTTTTTTTGGGTTTGCAGTTCGCGGGCCTCTCACCGTTGCGGCCTCTCACCGTTGCGGCCTCTCCCGTTGCGGAGCACCGGACGCGCAGGCTCCCGGACCGGGGCACGAACCCGTGTCCCCTGCATCGGCAGGCGGACGCTCAACCACTGCGCCACCAGGGAAGCCCCCTTATTGTTTTTTAAAATGTCAAACCTTATAGAAATATACAGCAAAAAAATTAAAGTCCCATCTAATCCTACCCTCCTAAAATAATAACCACCGTTAACAGTCTGCTCTACTCATTGATATCAATCTGCTGGGGAAAAAATTCTGACTCTTGTCAGTTGCTAGCAACCTTGGGGAAGAACTTAACTTCTTTGTACTTATTTCTTCATCTATAAAATGGGGATAATAGCATCTATATCATAAGGCTGTTTTGAGAATTAAATAAGTTAATATATGCTAAGCACTTAAAAAACAGTGCCTGGCAATAGGAAGTGTTCAGTGTATGTTGGCCTTTTTTCCCACTAAGTGTGAAAGAACTTTTTTAAAAACTGAAATGTGATCACCCTATATATATCTGCTTTATAACCTGTCTCCTGCGCCCCCTCCCCCCAGATATATCCTGGATTCCTTTTGATATTAGAAGGGAGACGTCTGCTTCATTCTTTTTAGTAGCTACATAGTATTTTATTTTATTAATTAATGTGCCATAATTTATTTAACTAGTCTCTATCAATGGACATTTGGGTTGTCTATCTTACAGAAGATGCTACGATGAACATTCTTTACCTTTGCTCTCTTGCAAAGTATTCTTTAGGATAAATTTATAGAAGTGGAATTTCAAAACAAAAAGCAATTTTTCTTTAGAAGTAAATGTCAATATATAAAAATGTAAAGAAGATGTAAAAATCTTCTGTGTACATCACTTCTTAACAATGCGGATAAACTAACCGGTTGAACTGGTAATCTGAATATCTTCCACTTTACCTCTGAATTAAAGGAATTTTCATCAAATTAGGTGATAGGTTTTTTGGTTTGTTTTCTTTTTTTTACACCAAATTCATTGAGCTATCCCTTAAGGAAATTTATTCATTTGTATTTATTGTTCCCTGTCATGTGTCCTATGCTCTTGGAAGAAAAAAGGAAAATGTGCAGCTGGTATGTGATTGGCTGCCTAATGAGTCTTGGGGTCAGACTCACGTGCTTAACCAGGAGCATCTACTCAGTGTAAAACTAGGGGAATAGACTTGAGAAGGCCTGGCCCAGTTGGGAGACTTCACCTGGAGAAAATGAAGAGTGAGGAGAGAGACAACATAGAGTAGATAAAATACATAGCTAAAAGGGCACACTTGTGGAAGTTACATTCAATTATTAACATACCCATTTGAAGTTCACTTATTTATTCAACAAATAATTGGGTTTTTTTTAAGAATTATATGTTGAACACTTTGACTTTTTAAGAGCCAGTAGAGTGAAGCCTAATTAATTTATATCTTGTGAATTCTGAGTTTTTTAAAAAAATATTTATTTGGTTGCACCAGGTCTAGTTGCAGCAGGTGGGCTCCTTAGTTGCGGCTCGCCGGCTCCTTTAGTTGAGGCTCGCCGGCTCCTTTAGTTGAGGCTCGCCGGCTCCTTTAGTTGAGGCATGCATGTGGGATCTAGTTCCGTGACCAGGGATCAAATCCGGGCCCCTTGCATTGGGAGCACGGAGTCTTAACCACTGTGCCACCAGGGAAGTCCCAAATATTTGTTTTTTGAATTTTTTTTTTTTACGCGGGCCTCTCACCGCTGTGGCCTCTCCCCTTGCGGAGCACAGGCTCCGACATGCAGGCTCAGCGGCCATGGCTCATGGGCCCAGCCGCTCCGCGGCATGTGGGATCCTCCCAGACCGGGGCACGAACCCGTGTCCCCTGCATCGGCAGGCGGACTCTCAACCACTGCGCCACCAGGGAAGCCTTAAAATTTTTAAGCAGAGCATGACAGGATCAGGTATCCGTTTTAAAGGATCACCCTGTGATGGGAGTGATCTTGAGAGGCTGTTAAACCAAGTAATCCAAGTGAGAGATTTTGGGAGTTTGAACTAGGATGGTGGAGCTGGGGCTGGGAGACGAGTGGACAGACTGGAGACATGGTCAAGATTAGCTGTGGGGGAAGGGAAATGGAGAGAAAGCTCTCCAAGTTAGATAACTCAAAAGCATCCAACTTGGGCAACTGAAGATGGAGAGAGGATATACAGAACTATGGAGGAAAATGATCAGTTCAATTTGGACCTGTAGAATTTGAGGTGCCTGTGGGGTACTCAATGGGTGATGCCTCTGAAGTTCAGAAGATAGCCCTGAAGATAGCCCTGTATGGTAAATGCAGCCTGGGAATGTTTGAGATGGCTGGTTAAGCAGCAGGCAGCAGAAAT